GTTGTTTAAATTGTTCTTCTATGCTTAATGGGTTCCTAATGCTTAATTTTAGGTTAGACAACAAATGATCAAATTAGGGAATTAGGAACACAAGGTTATGACCACACACCATGGCTTAATCATACATTAGCTAGAATCAATCCGTTAATCTAATTGAACTTGGGAACTTATCTGCTTGAGTTAGTTATTTTCTTTCTTCCTTGTTTTATTTATTTCCCTTCTTTTTCATTTCTGTTTTGTGTAGGGAAAATGAATTGAATCATTCAATCACCAATCCTCGTGGGATCGACCTCGCACTTACATACGCTATACTACCGAACGGCTCGTGCACTTGCGAGTATCACAAGTTGAGGATGCAGCTGAATCCATTTTGGTGCAGCTGTATCTACGCAACACTTGTTGCGTAACTTCGTGATGTAGGTAGGGAAATGGTAGATGGCTTTAACATTCCAATTTAATAAGATATTAGAAGAAGTATTTAGCATGGTCCTTGGTCCTGGTTCTAACAAGACTAAGTTGTCTATTGCCAAAATCCTGACCAGCCTGACTTCTAAAGGAGGGGGGAAGGAGGAAGCAAGAGCTCCTGTAACTGACTATGCTAAGATAATTTTGAATTAACTATAAAGCTTAATTATCTTAGAAACGCAATAACACAAAACGTAGAGGGCAAATCAATGAGATGCCTCTTCCAAATTTTATGCACTTGATCATGGATTTGCCACCAGCTCACTATCAATTATAAAAGAGCTTTCTTTTCCAACACATCCATCCAAGTTCCTTCACCAATACGTCATCTTTAAGAAATCGCTACTTGCTAAGATTTGTAGGCGTCATACAGTAAACACGACTTAGCATTCATGCATGATTTAAATTATCCTCAAATACCATAAGAAATTAACCAAAATAAAACCATAACACTGTATGTTGTTACTGAGTCAGACAAAGATACATAGAGGTGATCTGAAACCAAGCTGCTTCCTCATATAGCTTTTTTTTGTCGTAGAGATGCAACTCTTTTCTTTCTTTCTGGTTGAATGTGTTCGCTCAAACAATATACTAGAACAACACCAACCTCTGCTAGAATTAAAGTTCTCTTTCTGTCATGTTGTTATGATTTCTCTAAATTAATATAAATAATTTGAACTCTGCCATTTCTCTAGAGCTTCCCATTTTAACACAGAAAATTTTCCTCAAATTTCCATTTACCACCAACCCAGTAGCCATGTAGTTCCAAAATACAAAGAAAAATCATCTTAAATGCACTAGCAAATTCAAGAACCATATTTTATCGTATAGTGGATCAATGTATGTGTAAAATATATAAACACAGACACACATTGCCGCACAGAAAATTGAAAACAACAAAACATGAACAAATTTCAAACCCAAACCCCACTTTTGTGAAAATGTTCAACAAGAAAGGCTATAAAATTAAAGGAAGAAAGGTAAAAACAAGGATTACTCATCAATGAGAACAACATCAGCGCAGAACTGGAGAGACTTGGCAACAACAGAGCCAGCAACCCCACCTCCAATCACCACCACCCTCTTCTTTTCCCCAGCTGACTCTGCCGTGGCAGCCATTGAAATCAACAAGCACATTGCACAAGGAAAATGCAAAGCAACCCAAAAACCCTGTTGGTGAAATTGAAATTGGATTGGGATCAAAACAAAGAAATGTAAGTCCTATTCCTTGATGGGTTTTCTAAAACCAATAGGAGGTTTTAGTTATGGCGTTTCTCTGTAAATTTTTGTTGGTTGTTTGTGTATGAATTGGATGCTATTCTCAGAGAGAGAGAGAGAGAGCAAGAAAATGAAACAAAATTTGACAGTTCAGGTGAACGTGAAATTGACTATGAACTGGCAAGTTCATGTCATTGGTGAATTTTGCGGCTTTCGGGGGGGTACTTTGTTAAGCCAGTTACTAACTCGCTGTCTCTCTCGAAGGCCATTTTTATTTTTATTTTTATTTTTGGAGAGACTCAAAGGCCATTTGTTTTTGTTTTTATCCAAAACACAGAGGCGAGTTTGGGCCAACTCTGAGAAGAAAAACTTTTCTGGCACGCTCGACAAAGTTGGCCAAGCGACCCTTAGCCTTAGGTTAGGCAAATTACTTTTTGACGAGTTTTTATAAATAAAGATAGCTAAAATTTGGCTTTTACTTTCACGAATGTCAATTTGCATAAAAAATTTCAGAAATAGCACAGATAAATAGACTCAAATGTCCATAAAATTAATATTGATTCTATAACCCTTAATCATATTTTATAGGTGTCCAAGAAATTGAATTTTATATATATATA